CTGGAAATATTTTAAAAAGAATAATAAACATTGCTCTCCCTCGCCTATCGGTCGTTTCGTCGCACAAAACGGCTATCTTTTCATCTTCTAGTATTTTGGTTAAATTATTTTCTTCCTCCAGTTTAATTTTTGGCACAACATTTTTCCTAATCCATTTCACAGATGGTAAGTCACCTCCTCCTGTTAGAAAGAAGAAATTATTAATTCAAAGACTCATCCTTTCGGTTCCCTGACAGTTGAAATTTAGTAACTATACTATGGATTTATTTTGTCAAAATTAGTGTAGCGAACATAACCTCAAAACACTTAGCTGTTTCATCGATATGAACGAGCATTTAAATGTGACAGCATACAAGAACAATAACAGAAACACGAAATCGATCACCTTTAATGTACCTGTTCACCCATTTTCGAATACTCGGGTCACCAAGCTTTTTTAGAGGAATATTTGCTGCCATAAAAGACCGTATAGTTGAGCCAATGAACTCTTCTTTGTCCGTTTTAATGCGCTTGGCATTGTCAACTGCAACATCAATTGGCATTTGGCGTTTTCTTTCTTCCGCTTTCTTGCTTAGAAACTTCTTTTTATTGTCAATGTGGGTTTGCGATTTTGTATGGTTTAGTATAGTAGACTTCTTCTCCCAACCGACCCTACCATTACAGGACTCACACATCATAATTTGCTTTTTTCTATCAAAGATATAAAATGTTTCGTTCTTGAACTCTCCCTCCTTAAGTCTATTATCCATGGTAACTTTGCTTGGTGACATGTTGATGCTCCCATTCACACACAAAGATATAAACTAATTCCAAATCTCTCGCCGATTCAGGAAAGACTAGTACACACGCACAGCTAGGTTAGGAAGCGACAGCGGCGCAGCAACGCCCCTTGCCCCTCCCCTCACCACTCCCCCCTCTCCACTCAGAACGCTTTCGGCGCGCATTTTTAAATGTACGGACCAATTCCGAGTGCACATGTGCCCCGTACTGTGTGGAATAGGCTTTTTAGAGCAATTTATGCTCCAATGCTCGAAGATGTTCATTATGCTGCTTCAAAGGAAAATTATGCTTCATTATGCTTTTTAAAAACGTGCATTTTCGGGGTCGTAAGGTCAAAACTGACAAAAACTATCACTTTCGGAGAGTTCTGAGGTATTATGCTCCAATGCTCCAAGCATAAAGTTCCCCTCTCTATCCATGCCTTCCCACAGCCTTATTTTCGCGCCAATCTGCGGCATCGCGGCGCCGGTGAGCAGCAGCAGCAGCAGCAGCAGCAGCAGCAGCAGCAGCAGCAGCGGCAGCAGCAGCAGCAGCAGCAGCAGCGGCAGCAGCAGCAGCGGCAGCAGCAGCAGCAGCGGCAGCGGCGCTGCTCTTGGGTCCCGCGCTGCTGGGCTGCAGCTGCACTGGATTAACGCCGCACCGGTGGTGGGCCGAACCAATTATCTGCGGCACTGGACACAATGTCCGACCAATGAACGCCCCGCCCCGCCCCGCCCCGCCCAACGCGCGCAGATTACAATACAGTTTGCGGAGAGCGCCGCGGCCTGGCCGAGGGCCTGGCGGCCTGCCCGGGCATCGCGGCGCGGCGCTGCACGGGGCACAGGACTGTGCGAACCATTCCAGTCAGCTAATGACCACTTTCACTCCGGGCGCGGGGCGGGGCGGGGCATGGCGGGGCGGGTCTTGGGATCGACGACACTGCCGCGCCGCCGCCGCAGCAGGAGGAGGCACTGCTGCGCCGACGAAACCAGACAAACGAGTCTGTTGGACGCACTTTTACACTTGCTGCCCCCGCATAGTGTGTGTTGTGGCGCCGCGAGTGGTTCCCCCGCACGTCGTGAATCGTAATCCTTTGCTGCAATGGCGCCATTTTCACTCGGTTTCGCCTCAACCACACACCCCACCGCCAGGACTGCCACGCCACACGTCCTGCCCGGCAGCGCCCAAACAGGTTGATTATTAATTTAAGTCACCTGTCTGTCCGTCCTGTCCATCGGCGCCGCTTATAAGGCAGAAGCCACTCCGTCACCCGGTGGCGCTGCTGACATCCGCGATGGGAGCTCCAACATCGAGGCGCGCGGTTCCTATTTTTTTCTTTTTCTTATTCCCCTCTCTCTCTCTCTCTCTCTCTCTCTCTCGCTCTCCTCGGCGGCCGTGTTCCAAATCAATCACACCACGACACTACACACTCCACAGGCGCGCGCGCCCTCGCGGCCTCCGCTCGCCGTGAGATGCGCAGAGAGGGTTGCGTCATGTATCAAGGCGCCATGTGCAGCTCGCGGGGCGTGGCGGGGCGCGCCAGGTGTCAAATCCAATAAGCCTGGTCTAGGCTTCCTCCTCCCCCTCTCCGTGCCGCTTTGCAGCTCGATGCAAACACACACGTCACGTCCCACAGCTGATGCAGCAGGAAGAGCCAGCCCTGGCGCGGGTACACACACACACACACCGGCAGAGCCATTTTAGTAGTTATTTGTTTTTTCCTCCCCTGCTTTTTATATTTTTTCATTGTGTATTCCGGTGGGCAGCAGCCAGGAGGTGCGGGGTGCGCGGGGGCTCTCCCCGTGCGCGCTGCGCGTGGTGGCCTTGGCAGTCGCGCTGCTCTGCGCTGCTCTGCGCTGCTCGCCTCGCGGCCACACGACCCGGGCGGACCAGGGCGGCCCTTTAAAGGAGATGCGCCGGCCACGCACTCGCACGCACCGAGGCGCGCTGGACCGAGGCGGGAGAACAACAACATCAACAACAACAACCAACAAGAGGATACATTACACACCGAAACGCAGAGAGGAGGAGAGATGGAGATTCTTATTTTTGCGAGAGGGGAGGAGAAGGACCCCAACGCCGCGCCGCCGCCCACGCGGCCGAGAAGCGCCTGAAACGAGTCGAGGGGAGGGAATGATCTTGGCCCCACCCGCGGGCGACAAACTTGAGGGCAGGGGCCCAGAATCAGACCAGAGGCGAAAGTGAGAGAGACCAAATCAAACGCTGACCCTCAAAGTCACCGTCCTCCGCGGCGACGTAGGCCTACCGGCCGGGGCCCGAGCTGGGCAGGCCATCGTGTCGTAAAAGAGACGGGCCCCGCAGTCTACTTTTCAGAAGCTCTAATAAAATTTCGCGGCCGCAGTAGGGAGCCCATCCTCATTCCAACCAGTACAGTCAAAAAAACAACAGCGTTGGGTTCCGGGTTCGTCCTCTGTCACCATCAAATGTTCCTGATAATTTTGTCCTTAAACTTCAGAGTCCAAATGTTCATCCAAATGCTTGTTTCAAAACAACGCACGATGTCACGAAAGTCGACAACAGGACGTTGTAAGTTTCCAACCCAAAATCTAAACAGAGTACGCCCCCGCGAGGAGACACGGCATCGGCTCGTCGTCGTGGTCCAACGTTGTCCGCCGCGGGGGATGGCGTCACCTCGCAACCCGCGGGCCTGCCCGTCATGTCGACGACGACATCGAGGACCACCGAAACATCGGCGGGCGGGGGTCTCGACCATCATCATTACGACGCCGTTAGTTAACGACGTCCGTTGCGCAAAGGTTCACGACGATGAAAACAAACAAGGTTCCTCCGTCGTAGCTGCTGCTGCTGCTGCTCCCCGCGGCAGACACAGTTTTTGTCTTCTTTGTATTTCCTTGTTGCTTTTCCACCAAAGCTGTAATTACGGTCGGGTCGGTAATGGTCGGGGGGAGAGGGGGGGGGGTGGCAGCTCTGCTTGTGCACTGATGGCAACGCGGTTTGTCGCCTACGAACGCGTTTTCAGAGCCGTGGATCATTCGAGGCGCCTGAAGCGACCGGGACGCCGCGCCCCACATCACCAGGCCCGTTGGCCCCACCACCTTCCCGTGCAACAGCAAACGAGGAGGAGGCGGTTTCTGATGTGAGTTTGTACGATTTCGTCATGTTCTCAAACTTTTTGTAATTAGTTTTCTTTACAATCGTGCGTTTTGTTGCAGTGGTTCATGATGAATGACAGGGCGTTGCCCATCCCGCAACCTCTCCCGCTCAACCTATTGGTGCCGTGGGCGG